TAAAGACCTTCGTGCTTTTAATATTCAAAATCATGTCTAGATTAATTCTTTTAATGTGGTCTTTATTACATTAAATAATTTGAATATATTTCTTTAATGTTTGTAATTGATAACTATCAAGTTTGATTTCAGTTTCTACAAATTAAAACTGACCATTAAATAGCTATTATGGGATTCTTTATATTAGTTTTGAAAAAGTCAAATTTTTATATAGCAATAATGACTATTATGCTGGCAGCCAAATTTTTATATAGCCATAATCATCCAATTTTTTCCAACAATCTTAAGGATATTTTATGTTGTTATTATGGAGAATAACGCTGCTAATGTTGCTGTTTTTTGTGAAGATAATTTTAACCGCAAGCACGCTGTTGTTGACAAAGGACAAGAAATTGCTACTAGAAGCAGCCTTGTGGAGGAGAACAACCGTCAGAGAAAATCAAGTAACATGTATGATAAAAGAAATGGTTATAAGCCCAAAACCAACAATCAAACCTTCAAGGAAACATGCAACTGCTTTGTGTGTGGCACACCTGGCCACTATATTGCTCAGTGCCGAAAAATGGTTGAGAATGACAATCCCACTAAGGCTAAAGTAAATTTTACTGAAGCCAAAGTGGATGATATAACTGTTGCGGTTGTTTCCCAAGTGAACCTTGCGGCCAATGTGAAAGATTGAGTGTTAGATTCTGGTGCCACTAGGCACATATGTGCTAACAAAAAAGACTTTGTGTCTTACACCCAAGTTGAGGAGGGAGAAGAAGTTGTCTATCTTGGTGATTCAAGAACTACTCAAGTTCTTGGAAAAGGCAAAGTTCTTCTCAAACTCACATCTGGCAAAACTTTGGCATTGAATGACGTGTTGCATGTTCCTAGTATCCGAACCAATTTGGTCTCTGTGGGATTATTAGGAAAAGTGGGGGCGAAGGTTTCTTTTGAATCTGATAAGGTCGTGTTGACCAAGAATAATAATTTTGTTGGCAAAGGTTATTATAATCATGGCTTGTTTGTACTCAATGTTATCAATGTAAATGCTAGTACTTCTGCTTACTTGATTGATTCTTTTAATTTATGGCATGCTAGATTAGGACATGTTAGTTTATCTTATATTAAAAAAATGCATTCTGAAGGTCTTATTTCAAATATTAATTTTTCAAATATTGATAAGTGTGAAGTTTGTACAGAAGCTAAGCAAACTAAGAAATCATGTGCTTTAGTATTTAGAGAATCTGAATTACTAAGTTTAATTCATACTGATTTAGGAGACTTGAAACAAACTATGACTAGAGGAGGGAAAAAAAATATTATGTGACTTTTATAGACGATTTTTCTAGATATACAAAAGTTTATTTATTGAGAAATAAAGATGAAGCTTTTGATAAGTTTTTAATTTATAAATCTGAAGTAGAAAATCAATTGGATAACAAAATCAAAAGAATTAGATCCGATAGAGGTGGTGAATTTATTTTGTTGAATGATTATTGTGAGAAAGAAGGCATAATTCACGAGATAACTCCGCCATATTCTCCACAATCTAATGGTGTAGCGGAAAGAAAAAATAGGACCTTAAAGGAAATGATGAATAGCATGCTTGTTAGTTCTGGTGCTCCGGATAATCTTTGGGGTGAAGCCATTTTATTTGCTTGTCATTTACAAAATAGAATTCCTTATAAGAAAACGGGTAAAACTCCTTATGAGTTATGGAAAAGGTATCCACCTAATTTGAAATATTTAAAAGTGTGGAGGTGTCTTGCTAAAGTTATGTTACCCGATCCTGAGAAAAGAAAAATAGGATCTAAAACATCTGATTGTATGTTTATTGGGTATGCTGAAAACAGTGTAGCATACAGATTTTTAGTAGTCAAAAGTGATGTACTTGAAAACAATTCTATTGTTGAAACAAAAAATGCTGAATTTTTTGAAAATATTTTTCCTTTAAAATTTGAGAAAATTTCTGATGCTTCTATTAACCCAAGTGATAACATTTCACATGTTCCAATTGTTCAAAATGATTTTGAAAGTGAGGATTTAAGAAGAAGTAAAAGACCAAGGAAAGAAAAATCTTTTGGTAATGATTTTTATACTTATCTTGTGGATAATGATCCTTTAACATATTCTGAAGCTATTTCTTCGTATGATGCCTCATTTTGGAAAGAAGCTATTGATGTAGAATTAAATTCAATTTTACAAAATAAAACTTGGATTTTAGTTGATTTACCTCCGGGAGCTAAACCCATTGGTTATAAGTGGATTTTCAAGAAGAAACTCAATCCGGATGGTTCCAATAAATACAAAGCTAGACTTGTTGCAAAAGGTTTTACCCAAAAGTAAAATATCGATTATTTTGACACTTATGCTCCTGTAACTAGAATTTCCTCAATTCGTGTTTTACTTGCCTTGGCTTCTATTTATAAACTTTTTATTCACCAAATGGATGTTAAAACTGCATTTTTAAATGGTGATTTGGAAGAGAAAATTTACATGGAGCAACCTGAAGGTTGTATAGTGTCTGGCCAAGAAAATAAAGTATGTAAATTGTTAAAATCTTTATATGGTCTAAAGCAAGCGCCTAAACAGTGGCATGAAAAATTTGATCAAGTATTGATTAATGATGGTTTTTCATCAATTGAAGTAGATAAATGTGTTTATACAAAATGTGTAGATGGTACATGTGTTATTATTTGCCTTTATGTGGATGACATGCTTATTTTTAGTTCTAGCCTTGATTTGGTACATAAAACCAAATTTTTCTTGTCTTCTAATTTTGAGATGAAAGACATGGGAGAAGCTGGTGTTATTTTAGGCATGAAAATTATAAGAGATGGCAATAGTTTGATGTTGACTCAAGAACATTATGTTGAAAGAATTCTTAAAAATTTGATAATTTTGATGTGGTACCTGTAAGCACTCCATATGATGCTAGCAGTCAATTAAAAAAGAATAAGGGAGATGCTGTAGATCAAAATAAATATGCTCAAGTTATTGGTAGTCTAATGCATTTGATGAATTTTGCTAGACCTGATATTGCATATGCTGTGTGTAGATTGAGTAGATATACTCAAAACCCAAGTCATGATCATTGGAATGCATTAGTAAGAGTAATGAAATATTTGTGAGGTACCATGAACTATGGTATTAAATATAGTGGATTTTCCACTGTACTAGAAGGATACAGTGATGCTAACTGGATCTCTGATTCAGATGAGAAAAAATTCACTAGTGGTTATGTGTTCACCCTTGGTGGGGGTGCTGTGGTATGGAAATCAGCTAAACAAACAATAATAGCTAGATCTACCATGGAATCTGAGTTTGTGGCATTGGAATTAGCTGGCAATGAGGCCGAGTGATTAAAGAACCTTTTGGCGAGTATTCCACTAGGAATTAAACCTACACCTTCTGTGTCGATGAATTGTGATTGCCAAGTTGCAATAGCATTGCCAAAAATAAATCCTTTAATGGGAAGAGTAGACATATCCGATTGAGACATAATGTGATAAAGCAGCTGCTGAAAGATGGAATTATTTCCATAGATTATGTGAAGTCAGAAGTGAATTTGGCCGATCCTCTGACTAAACCTTTGGGAAGAAAATTAATATCTGAAACATCGAGGGGAATGGGACTTTTGCCAATTTGAGTTATATCAACTATGATGGTAACCCAACCTATGTGATTGGAGATCCCATGAAGTAGGTTCATATGGGTAATAACAAGTTATTAGTTGATCAAATGTGCACTATTAAATTATGTCTCTTCCTATGGTGTGTGCGTATATAGTGCAAGACTGCAAGGAATGTGAGGTTGAGTTATTAAACTCTTAATCCAATAATCCATAGCCTATTGTAGGTGGTGTATTGTGATGCAGAATACACTTGATGGATGAACCTATATGAGTGCGGAGTGAGGCCGCTCCTATGAAATTTATGGCAAAAATTTCTAGAGCACTCATGAAAACCAGGCGCGCGCATGGCCTATTAGCGCAAAACCGCGACAAACAACAAAGTGTGTGCGGGTATAATGTGATAGATAATACACTAAACTTACAAAAGAATTATTGGTTCATAGAAGTTTTGAACTTCACCAATTGTTCTGTAAGTTTAATCTTATTTTATCTAGGTCTGGTTCATAGTCCAAGAGACACCAGATTAGATACATTGTGCTCATTTGTGAAAACCTAGCGAAATCTTTTATTTACTCTAATGATTAATATTTTTTTTGAGTTATGTGGAGGATTGTTAGAAATATAATTTGATAACTCAAAAAGAAATATTCAAAATCATGTCTAGAATAATTCTTTTAATGTGGTCTTTATTACATTAAATAATTTGAATATATTTCTTTAATGTTTGTAACTGATAACTATCAAGTTTGATTTCAGTTTCTACAAATTAAAACTGACTATTAAATAGCTATTATGGGATTCTTTATATTAGTTTTGAAAAAGTTAAATTTTTATGTAGCAATAATGACTATTATGCTGACAGCCAAATTTTTATATAGCCATAATCATCCAATTTTTTCCAACAGGGAATAAGTAAATATAGAAGAATAAATAATAGGAATTTTTACTTCCTATAGAATAGGTTAACCCCCTATTTATTTAAAATAAATACCATTTCAATAATTACATCCTATAGATATGTTATATGATTTATAGCAAAAATTCTAATTTTGGGTATCTCCTACACTTAAGCCATTATACACGCTATGTTTAATTTCACCATCTCCATTCTCAGATTCTCTCTCTCATAGATACCTTTTTACATACAACTTCTCAATACAAGTTTTCCCCCTTCTCTCTAAATTGATACTTCCAAATCCCCTGTAATCGCGGTTAAAATTATATTGCTCTCATTTGCTCTCATTCACAGCTTCCTCCTTCCCCAATCTCGGGTAAACCCTAATGCATATTTTTTTTTGATTTTTCGCCATTTTTGCTTGTTCTCAACCTCTCGACTAACCAAATTGTATCTAATCAACAGTACCCAAGTCGTATTGTTACAATGTCTGAGAATACACCCCACAAGTTGATTGCCAGAGGTATACCCACTAAACTTCTCAATTTCGATGGGCCCTCTTTCTCCTTGCAAATCACTCAAGGTGAATTCGACGCAGGTTTAGCCAAAGATATTGATTTGGAGAAGAGAACAAAAGCTCGACATGATAAAGTCGAGAAATCAATGAAGGAGACAACACTTCCCATTCGAAAAAAGAGGAAAAACCATATCTCTGAAGCTTCATCTGTCAAGGGGAAGGAGGTTGAAGAATTGAAAACCTCAGATAAAGTTGAAGAAAAGGTAATTTTCTGATGAAATTCAATTGTATTATTCATGTATTCAGTTGTATTTATACGTATTTATATGTATTTTGATGTATTTTTATAGTTGTCTTTTTAAGTTTCTTTCAAGGTTCCCATCACTGTTTTTCCTTTCAATTTCATTGTATTTATTTGTTATTTTCAATAGTTTAAACTTCAATTCTGTATTTAGTTGTATTCATATGTATTCATGTATGATAAATTAATGTCATTTGTGTTGTATCCAGTTGTTTTATATGTAATTAGCCTTGTCAGTGTATTTAGTTGTATTTATATATTTTTATTCATGTCAAATGCAGGGAATTAAGTTTTTTGTCAAACAGCAGCCAAAATTTGCACCCCATATCAGTGTGTATACTAACACTGATATAGTCTCCGATATAAAAGAGAACCTTACTCCTGTTCAGTACCAACAACTTGGTAATACTTGCTTTGGAAATTTTCTTCAAATGAAGCGTTGTGAAGTCCAACATCAACTCTTCAGATGCTTCATGGCTCTCCAGGTAGAAGGTACTCCTAACAATGTATTTGCAATACACGTCAATGGTACTTCATTACATTTCACATTAAAGGAGTTTGCGCTTGTTACTGGGCTCAAATGTGTTGGTAATGATGCTGATTTTGAGTTTAGTGAAAAGGTTCCTAACCGGCTTATTGAGACTTACTTTGGAGGTGCTAATCTTGTCAAGAAGAAACATTTGATGAAATGCTTTGCTGAGAAGAGCTGGGGTCCCGACAATGATGTTGATGCCTTGAAGATATCTTTGTTGTATTTCATACACACCTTCATTTTTTCATCCGAGAAAAACAGTACAACCATACCAAGGCTACATTTTGACTTGGTAGAGAGTGGGCGCTATTCTGAATATCATTGGGGTTTAAAAGCATTTGAGATGTTGACAAAATCGATTAGCAAGAAGATGGATGCTGTGAAGAAGTATTACAGGATAGCTGGGATGCCCATATCTATGCAAGTGTGGTTTTATGAGTGTTGTTCTTCTGTTGATTCCAAAATTGCACTCCGAGTTGATGGCGTGGTCCTTAGAATACTCAATTGGAGAACCACCGGAAATCAGCCAACTTTTTCTTATCTGATGAACGGCATGTTCAATGACACCGGAAACATAGTAATATACAAATTGTATCACTGCTAGTTTAGATTTTATTAATAATTAATAGGCATATGTTTGCATATAGAAGTATGCAGTTGCATTCTCATACATTTTTTATGCTTCAATACCTGCTGTAGTTTCTGCATTCAGTTGCAAAATACATTTACATACAAATACATACAGATAGAAATACTTGTATAATCAGCTGCAAGAAGATATTGATGCAGACAACTGTATACATTTGGATACTAATGCTTACAGAAATAAATACTTGCATATAGATTCAAGATACATGTATACAAATGCATATGGACTAATAATCAGCTGCATAAACTTGTATACAAATCCATACAGATTATGCATACAGTTGAATATATCTACTGCCTACAATAATATTCATATGCATACAGCAATATACAACTGTTGTAACCTTCAATATTATTCTTCATACATATGCATATTATTTTCAAATCATCAACTCTGCCTTATCTTCAATAGAAATATCATTTTGTATTCCAAATCTGCATTTGGAAGATTTTAGTTAGACTTTTATTATATTTATTTTTTCAGATTGTTTTCAAGGACATCAGTCCAAGCGATATAGAGCTAGCCGTTATTCAGATTCCTCCTGTAGCCGCCGATGTTGAGAACAGACCTACTCTTGCTCATTCAGACAAATCGGGAGAGGATTCGGATGACTTTTCTCCGACACCCGATCTTCCATGTAAGAAGAAACATGTTGCAATTGTTAGTCCATCTTCATCACCGCCCCATAAAAAGCGTAAGGAACACGAAAGGCATCATAATGAAACAGAATATCATCCCAACATTCCTCATGTTTGTGTTTCCGAAATTGGACATAAAGTTTTGCATGACCATCAGCTGCCAGAAGGCCAAAATGATGAAGTATCTTCTTTGACATGTATTCATTCAAAGAATATATGAGTATTTAACCATAGATTAAACATTACAGTTTAATGCTTAGCATTCATATATTTTTTTCGCAATCTTCTAACTATTTTTGTATTGTTAAGGTTATGGGAGAGTTCAAGTCTCTAACAACATTGATCAATGATAACTTCAAGGAGCTTTCAGACCATATTCAACAAAATCAGCAAAATGAACCCATAGGGAGACGTGATGATGGCATTCACACAGATGTCAGAGATAATGTTGAGGTTTAACATTCTTAACATATTGAGCATATGTATTTAACTGTATTCATATCTGTGTTAACATTAATATATAATTGCAATTAACTGCTGTATTTAAATGTATTTCAGATGTATGTAGATGTATTCTGATTTGTAAATCTTAACATATTGAGCTGTATTTAAATGTATTTCAGCTGTATTT